ATGCAGAAAAACTCAGATTCAGTCCAAGAAAGAGGAAGAAAAGGAGCAGAGTGGGGGAGGACTCCTCAACCGTCAAAATGAACAGTTTTTAGGAGATCCATGGTATTTATAGTACGACGTCTAGAGACAAACTTGCGGAAACTTGTTCTTTCTCTGAATTCTTGACGTTTCATACGGAAGCATTAGATTTCCCATAGAGAAATCAATAATTCACATTCTCTGTTTTCGAAGATCGAAAAGATCGAGCAAAGCGGAATGAGCAATGAAGATGGCGAGTGAGATAGAAGAGCGAGAGCGCAAGGGTCGAGAGAGTGGACAGTGCAGGCAAAAGACCTTGGGGTCGTCGTTCAAAAAACGTGCGATAATCGACATAAGGAGAAACAAAACCAGTTTGAACCAGCACGTGGCTCAAAAACTAAGAACATCACAGAGAATTGTGAAAGACAGATCGTCGATTGTCGCGTAGGCACAAAAAAGTACCAGAGAAAAGTTAATGAATGAGAGTTACCTTCTTTTCAAATGTTCCGCCACTAACCTCAGAATAACATTAAGTATGTCTTTTCTAGGTGAGCTCATTTGTAATACACGTTTCCGTACTCGTCTTTCCATTAAAATATTGCCTTCAATAAAAGTTTTTTTTAACCCATTGGCGACAATGCGATTTTTTATATTTTCGAAAAATGCGTCGTAATGCACCAAACTACTGGCACCAAAAATGTTGAATCTCAAAGCAGACACTGTTGAGACTTTGCACGTTTTCAAAACTTTCCCGATCGCACCCGAAATGAGCGTAAATCTTTTCGTTCGGCCCAGGGTGGATTTCGGAGCAAGCGAGGAGAACTTTTTTCAAACTGGCACTCCACTCCAGAATTGGCAAATAGGGTCGAATCCCGTTCTCTTCTAGTGAGAAGTTGTACCAGCCCTCTAGCTAACTGAAAGCAAGAAGCCAGCCGTATACACTTAAAAATAACAAGCCTTGCTTTAAAAAATCACTTTTTAGCACCGCTTATGTAAAACATTATTTAGGAAAGATATGCATGGGCCACGATTACCATAAGTACTACAACGCCTTCCTGATTAATGTGCCATTATAATAATTTTAAAAATCTTGCGTAGAAGAATTATCTCTATGCTGCGTCCCCACATCGACCCGCAATGTCGCCAATGGGTTTGCGAAATTGGGGGAAGATTCCCTGGACAATCAATACACAAACTATTAATATGAAAAAATACCAGATAAAGAGGGACCTATGAGCACAACCAAGTTGATTGAAAAAATGGAAAACTGCTGCTAAAATTCCGTCACTTTTTCGCGAATTTGCGGATCAGCGTGTATCTTCAACAGTTCGTTTAGCCAGATGGACCAGGAGGCGAGAGGGTGCGTATTTGGCTGAGTGGCATCGTATTTGAAAAGAAATAAATGGGAAGAATTTTTTGGGATGTGGCAAAATTTCGGCCGAGTTAAAAGAAATTTTGAAGTTTTCAAATCTTGGTGTGTTGCCAACACCCCCTCTCCACCCATTCTACGAATTCAGGAAATGTTTGAGAGATTGAAGTGTGTCAAGAGGTGCGGAAGTGAGAGTCTACCCTGATCCAAGGTGTGGGCGATGGGTATTGAGACGGAATGCCGGAGCTGTGAAAACTTCGAAATCGGCCGTTTAATCCTATTCAACAAGAGCCACTTCATCGCACAAAGCAGCTTGTTGGTTTATGGCCCTGCAAAAAGTCTTTTGTGGGTTTTCTAGAAAAAGATGAACACATCAGCCAAACAGCTGCATAATCCGCACAAATATCTATGGCTTGAAGTGGCCGAAACGTTTCAGAATTTATTACTGGGTACTTTCTACAAATGTTGACCCGGTAGAGAATGTGCGTAAGATGCCGTCTCAGTGAGCCGAATTGAGGCGGAAGTTGGGCAATAGGCTCAACAGTTCCATGCAGAAGACCATATACCGTATCAATTACTGTTCCTCAAGTGGCAGCCACAGATGCCGCCGGAAGCGGGTTTCTAGTGAAAGTAAGTGTATGTGTAAAGGCATACACCACGATTAGGAGACTGGAATGTTGCGAGTAAGCTCAAAAGGAGCAGGGGCTGTAAACGATGCAGGGCCTCGTTAAGGCAGAAGGTGCTCCAGAACCGACGATATTAGGCACCGGATGGTGGTTGGTCCGCCCCGCTAGACAAGCGATACCGCCCAGCGCTGCGGAATCACTTGCCTTTCATATCGCTCCTTGTTATGCTATCATCTCCCCTATCATTGTCCCGCATCAGCGCCTATTACCTCTCCTCTTGCTGTCCGTTTCTTAAACTCTCGCTCAGCTTAGGACAAGGAGGCCCGTATTTTCGGCATTTTTGATGATTTTTCCCTTTTACCTTGACTGATGGTAGATCTGTCCCTCCTACTTAAACAGCGAAATCGCCAAACCAACTTCACATGGGCCGTGCTTTCGGACCCGAACTCATCTAAAGGGAACCTATATGGACGCTCTAGGGTGTATGGACGCTTTAGGGTGGCTAAATATGGAAGATGGTGATGGAGGTGGGAGGGGGGGTAGGAGAGATGGAATGGCGGAGGACTTAGTGTTAGAGTGAAAACCGAACGGTGGGTCATGATGGATCTCATTGTCAGCTATCATAGATCGCACCAGCTAGAAAGGTTCTTTCAAAAACACAACTTCATCTAGGCTGGAAGGGTTTTCTATGAATGAGGGGCGAGAAAAAGAGTAGGTTGCTTACATAGTAAAGAAACCACCGACCAACGAAGGATAAATTTACGACCCAGCGAGGCCGTAAGGTTTTTTTATTAAGAAATAAATAAAGGATAAAGCATTCCGTTGATCAATCCCTTTTTGGGATGCGGCACGCATTCTACTTCCATTTGTACATTCGTAGTGGCGTTTGAATGCGATGTGGCCTATACAATGACTTGCGGGGCCAGCCGATGTACAAGTCAGTGTTTTTATCCTCCCAGACAAGTCTGGTACCAATTAACCGACCCCGGAGGGATGGAAGGCTTGGTTGGCCCGGGCGACTCACGACCCAGGATTTGATCCCCGGACCGCTCGCGTGGTGAGCGCGCCACTTGTCACTACACCACTTCCGCCCAAGAGAAAAATTCTAAAAATAGCATGCTACAACAGGAGGCAAAGGAGGGCGGAGCCAATTCCAAACATACCCCCCAATCACCTGCTATCCTCAATATGCCATCTTGCCAAAGTTCGTGCGCAATAATTTTTTTGAACAATTTACCAACTACCTTGAAATGAAAAAAAAAAACCTATATGAAAAGGGACGTATCACACCGCACTGTACTCAACACATCTGACACGGGTAGATCAGGCCAGGCGAAAAAGGGCTTGAACGCAATTTGCAGATCGTTTTTATAAAAAAATCGCAACTGATAAGACAAACGACACTTAACAGCTATTTTATAAGATTATAGCGCCCCGCTAGTCTTGCACTGAAGTAAAGGCGAGCTTGGCCGCGGGAGATATGAGCGCAGTCGTAAAGAAAAGCGCTTCGGGAACACGCGTTTGTTTTTGTGTTCAGTTATGCAGCAGCACTGACGGAATCTAGGAAACGTCAGCGTTTGTTCATCTGTTTAGAAAACGAAGTGGAAAGAAAAAAAAAACGCATCCGGAATGACTGATGTAACCCAACAGTTCGTTGGAAATCCTGAGTGCTATAGAGCGCAAAGACAAGCAGGACACACTTTCGAAAACAAGCAAGCCAACTTCTGGACGGTAATTTCACAGAAAAGGAATAATCGAAGTGGATGGAAAAAAAAATGAAATAGAGGTTGTTGATCCCATCGAGTACATGGGCCACTTGTGCAGATATCGATTCGCAGGCCTCAGGCAGCGAACACCCCCGAGGAACTCCCCGCACGATTGAAATCGCGTCATCGTAACGGGTGTGGAAAGCACTTCCCGGGTTTCAACCCTAAATCTTATATTTCGACCAGGTCAGTGAGTAGGCTTCAGTGCTAATGTTGATGTGGAGGAGAAATAGAGATGTATAAGAATGCCTTTATTCGGATAAGCATGAAACGTAATTGCCAACGGCGGCGCTTACGTTCTCGTGGGCGGGGGGGGGAGAAGAGGGATTCGAAACAGGGCATTCAAAAACCACTGATGGGCGATACTTAGATTAGGCCCAGGACGGAGGAGAAAGCCAGGGAGAACAAAGATTGTACACGTCCACCCCTCAGAACCCGTTTCGCTCCTTAAGGCTCAGTCCCAAGTTCTGTAAGTGAATCACTCACTCCAATGTCCCCTAACGACATGAGTGCCCACACACCCTCTGCAGTACATCATTCCAAAACTCCTATCCTTCCACTGCAAATACTGAGCCCACAACGACGGGTACCCGACTGTTACAGACTACCTCATCCTTCTATGGTCCTCCACGAATGGCGGAGGGCACAGACGATTAGAGAACGGCGCCTGGCTCGGCTCCAAATCCCAAGGAGGGAGGTGAGAGCCTTAGGACTAAGCCTTGTAGGAGGGAGGGAATCCGAGGGGTGAGCCAACTACAGTGTGGCAAAAGTTTGAATGTGTGAGATCACAATGGTCATGAGCCGCTGATAAGGTGAGAGAGCGCAGACGAGAGATCTAGTTGAGGCGGCTTAAAGGACCGAGTTTAAGTAGTCCGTCGACCCGACAAGAAGGCAGGAAGGCAGAGACGCAAGCAGGTCAGTGGACGAGTCGCAACGCGTGCTGTAAGTTAAACGAAATGTGCCATTGTACGCTCTTCATTGCAAAGTACACGATGCGACCTGTCCGCTAACTCTTCCTTCCTGTTGCGCGGCGGGCCTCCTGTCGGTTACCTCTACCGCGACGTCTGCGACGTCGGGATGTCGCTTTTGCCGTGCGACAGGCCTCCTCACCGTCGCTCTGCAAACTGGTCACAAAAACGTTCCGAGCCCGGAAGTTGTGCCTCGCAGTTGGAAGCGGAGTAATTTTTGAAGACGCCGTCCAGAACACTTACCTACACCGTCTCATGCTGTCTCAGTTGACAGGCCATGCGCTTTCCCATCCTGATTGCTTGCTTGAGCTGCTCCTTGTCCGCCGAAAAGATGACTGAAAATGGGCTGATGACGCTTTTTCAGTTCAACCAGTCTACAATAAGTTGAATAAATAGTTCAACAATTATGATTCACTTCTATTCACTGGTTTAATTGGATGCATCGTACTTCCTACTCAGTCTTACATTTAGTTATAAGGCTTTCTGCTTCTTAGGACATCACCCAGATCGTAATCCTTATTTAGTGCATTGTTTTTACAAGCTTGACGCCGTACGCTACCACGCACGGTAGGTTTGAGTGACAGACCAAGACCGGTTAATTGGTGCCCGACTTGTGTGAATGGGTAAAACACTGACTTGTACGTTGCCTGTCCCTCATCCATTAGATTGGTCAATTACATTCAAATCCTTACTTCGACTCGCAATGAAGTTGGTTTCGTGGCGCATCCCGAAATCGGGATTGATGAACGCCAACGCTTTATCCTTTACCTTGATCTTTTCTCATTCTCATAAAAAGAACGAAGAGAACAAAAAGATTGTGTTTGTTTTTGCAAACAATATGAGAAACCCGAAAGACTGGCAAACGTTCAAATCCCCACCGTACATCTGTCATAAATGTTGGTGATGAAAACGATTCCGCCTTGTTCACGGTGTGCTAGGAATTCTTTTCGGCTTTTTCCTCCTACGCAATAGGATGTCTCTTTTCTATTACGTCCTATTTTTTGATCGTTTCGACTTCATTCTCCAAATTCGGATGTCTCAACTCAATGCGTCGTCTGATACGAGGCCACCTCAAGGCGCACTTCTTTCCATGCGTTCCCTTGTCCCTGTCCGATCCATCTCCTACCGTCCGGAGTTCGATTGTCGTAAGTTCGTTTCTCTTCGAAAGCTGAACCTCCTTGTGTGAAACGTTGGAACGTTATCTCAGCGAGCCGAGCTGACCAGCTACGAAGTTATTACGGAATGCAAGAACTTTTCGGAGGCAATTCCTCCTGGCTATTCTGACAAGCGCCTAACGATGTTTACCCGCTGTCAAGACTACACATCGAAGATTTCTCTATGGGGCAAATTTTTTGCGTGCAATTAAGACTTTATATGCCATCCATCACAACTACGTGACCTTGCCAATATAAACTCTCGCCTTTTCTTGCCGCTGAGAAATCGTGAGTTTGGTTGGAATAACAATGATATAACGACTATACTATCGGAGTGGAAAACCTCAAACCGGTTTCATCTATGTGATGGATGAGCCAAATGAATTTGCGATATATTTATCAATAGTAGCGCGCATTACCAATAAAATAGTGGACAGTTTATGCAGGCTTGAGTTAGCGGGTCACCCGCTCTCATCATACATACTATCAACGAGGCATTCTGCTTCCAGCTACTCGCTCCAATGCCTACGATAGCTCCCCGTCCCCCTCCCCCGCCCTAGGGTCAACTCTGCTGGAACTATTTATGAGAACGGAGGGTGGTAATGGCAATTTGGAATGGGATCATATTTGTGAGGATCGCCTTATAGAAGTTGATGGAATCATGATTACAGGAAAGATAGACGTTGTTGGAGATTTTGGCGACTAATTTAGTAGAGGATTACGAACTATACGAAATGTTCAGTTCAAGAAATTTTTCGTTTACTTTTTCTTTTCGCCGTATAAAGATTTAAATAGTAGTAGAAGTAAGAGGAAACATTAGGGATGACAATATGGCATTTTGATTGAAATAATCAACGTAAAATTGCTTTTGAGGTCCATTGCAGCTAGTTCTGAAAAATTCGCTTTTTCATTGTCATTGTTTCATGTCTTTCGATCGAAATTCCACTACTGTACCCTGGTAGTTGTGCTCATTACAATTTACTGATCTTGGCTTTCAAATTTTTTTTAAAAAAAAACAAAATTTTATTATTACGTATTTATCGCTCAAAATTTGCCTTGAAACGCTGACGGCGAGACCCGCAAAAATCGGCCCGGTCCCACGTGGCTAAAAAAGCCGAAACTCGCATTGTCGTCAACGTGTTGAACCTACCTAAACCGCCTGCCAGCAACTTGGCTCGTGCATATATAAGGAGAACATATATGTGCAAGTTCAGTATAATTATTAGCTATTACCTGTAAGCTTGTCACGTGTGCGGCTATGCAACTTTCACAACAAGTACTTTCATGACCTTTTTCTGATACTGGTTGATATTTGGCGAATCATCAGCAGCTAATCCAGACGTCGCATTGATGCTGCTGTGGAGAGAACGTAGGATATCCGAATGCGCTGCACAAGGTTGGTGTGAACGCTTCCGCGAAAGAGACTTCAAGACTGAAAGTTCCACTTGATCGGGACGTGAACTCGAAGTCGACAATGATCGAGTAATGATCCGGCTCATAGGGATCATCGCCATGTAAACACCTAGCCTCTGGTCATGACCCGAAATGAACAAACCCTGTCAACTCACAAATCTTTTATTCCTAATACACTATAACACTGGAACGAGATCTCAATAATATCGAGTACAGACATCCAGCGACACACATATACCAGTATGACTCAGGGGGAACCAGACCCAGCGGAGCATCGATCGACAATACGACGTGGGCATCCGACTGGGGGTAGGCCCGATCACCGCGTCGCACTGAACGAAAAAAACGAACGGAGTAGGAAGTCGGAATCGTGACGTAGGCGAATCAGTCTGTCCTCGGTCGTCGAGGTCGAGCCCAGAGCCTTGAATCGTCCCGTCCACCGCTTTTATTCGAGTCCCATCGCTATCTCTTTCATCGCCTGAAAAAAGAGAAACCGAGGAAGAAGCCCGAACAAAAACAATCTCGAGAGTCGACAAGACATACCGATTCCATGAGTTAGGTTCGGGCACGCTCCAACGGTCCGTGCCACCTGAAACATTTGGAAATTAGATATTGAATAAAAAGGGTAATGATTTCCCCTTTCCATCCTTTACATCTCCCCCCTTTGCAAAAGTCCGACCTCGGCCTTCACTTCTTTTGGAAGGAAGCCATGCGCTCGCGGAAACCCTCCAGGTACGTGAGTACGTGGTTTCCCAGGCACCACGGCATCATGTCCACCATAGAGGACATCCCTTGAGCTACACAGGGTCAAGCGTGCGTTGAGGAATCCTCGACACGTCGCAGGGGGGGGGGTCGTATTGGCCTGCTGGGTGGAAGAGATCGAGCCATTTTGATGCAGTGGGATCATCACCGCCGGAAGACAAATATCAAGGATGAGTCGATGCCAGGCCAGAGGATTTCCAATGAAAATGATTTTCACCCACACAAATTTTCGTGATTCTGAGGCGTCCGGTAATTCTTAGTTACTTCAGTGTTTTATCACCACACAAGTTAAAGAATCTGAATTTCGCACGCTTTCCAAGAGATATTTCATCTTTCAAGTAAGACCCCGAATCTGAAGGGATGTGAGGTACACGGCGCATCCGAGAAAGGGTCTAGTTGTTGCGCGCGCTTCAACTACGGCTCCTTGGACAAACAACCTCAATTCAGGAACAATCGAGAGAATTCTGAAAGTGTCCGTGCGCATTTACAGGGAGGTGTACACCATTCAACATTGCGTTAACGGACTCTTCAGGGTTAAATTTATAAACATGTAACCTTTAAAGTTGAGAAACGCTAATCAATCACTTTTCTTAGAGAAGAGAAAAGCAGTGATTCCAAATCTGCTCTTACTTTAGTACATAATCGCCCTTAAAAGGATATACAGCCGTTGAAATAGTGCCAATGTAGCGAAAAAGTACCTTTCGGCGGTACTCGTGCGAAAATCCTCAACGTAGCCGTTTTTTTAATACTGGACGTTTGGAGCAGTTCTAGTAAGCATTTGATAGAGCAAATCTTCTAGTTTATGATGGCGTATTTACTTTTCGGATTGGATGAGTTTGAACGGAGTTATGGCTTTAGGAAGTAAAAAAAACTCGCACTCATCACAAATTTTCCTCGTTAATTTTGCAAAATCCTCAACGTGGGCATTTTTCGAATACTGGACGTATAGAGCTGCTTTAGCAATGGTTTGGTAGAGAAAATCTTCTAGTTTTGTCTGCCATATTAACTTTTCGAATTTGACGAAAATGAAGCAAGTTGTTGCTTCGGAAAGTGTAAAAACTCGTGCTCATCTCGAATTTTCCTCGTTAATTGACCTAAATTTGTTATTTCTTATAACTTTTTGTAATTTCTAATACTGATTAGAAAAAGCTCTTCACAAAACTTCCAAATCTGCTTTCAGATTGAAAATTCGTCAATTTGAAGAAAGTTATAATCATTTGAATATTTGTTCAAATTTCAATAGTAAATAAGCTGCTCCACGGTCAACGCCAAAGTCCAGTCAACACACAGCTGGCGAAGGCGGTTAAAAAGCTTCTTTCAACTGAAGGGCTACGTGCAAATTGAGAACCACAATCTGTGTAGTACTAGAATTTGGTAAGTCTTGTGGAGGAAATAAATAAAGAACAGATGTTGTCATGGTATGCCATTTTTAGTGGCTAGTTTGTCGTTTTCTGGTCTGTTTCTCGTTTGCTCGTTTGGTAGGACTCATCAATAATGATTATTCTTTGACTTTTTCACTTTTGTACTTCTTAAACGAATTTTTTTGGGGGTGGGGTAGCAGGGCTTTTTTATGAGCAGTTTTGGGGGAGAATTAAACAAGCTTTTCAACCTTTTCATAGTTCGGCTTTTGAAGAGGGTTGTTTCATGGACTTCGGCCTCCGGCGGAGGGTGGTGGGGGGGGGGGTCGTATTTCCAAATTTTCCTCAACGCCTCGCTTGACCCTGGTCCCATCGCTATCTCCGTTTCATCGCCTGAAAAAAGAGAAACCGAGGAAGAAGCCCGAACAAAAACAATCTTGAGAGTCGACAAGACATACCGATTCCATGAGTCAGGGTTGGGCACGCTCCATCGCTCCGTGCCACCTGAAACATTTGGAAATTAGATGATTGAATAAAAAGGGTTAATGATTTCCCCTTTCCATCCTTTACATCTCCCCCCTTTGCAAAAGTCCGACCTCGGACTTCACTTCTTTTGGAAGGAAGCCATGCGCTCGCGGAAAGCCTTCCAGGTACGTGAGTACGTGGTTTTCCCGGCACCAGCGGATCATGTCCCCCATAGAGGACAGACATCGAGGTGCACAACCGAACCTAGGATAAACATACCGTCGCGGGCTCTGGATAGGGCGACATTGAGGCGCTTGGGATCTGCAAAGAAGGAGAGATTGCGCTTAGGGTTGATATGGGTGCGCGTCGTGCACACGATGACGACAGATTTTTCTGAAACCTTGCGCGCTATCCACGGTTTTGACCGCAACGTTGGACCCTTTGAGTGCGGACTCGCACAGGTAAAGTTGGTCGCGGTAGAGGCAGATGACCATGATGTTGTCCGCGGAGATGGACGACGCTAAAAGGAGTCGAACTATCACGGCAACTGCGCGAGCTTCGAACGGGTTGCTCTGGATCCCGTCACCGACTGTACCGATTCGCCGATGATGTTGATAAAAGCGATCGGGAGGTCCGGATTCGGCATCCATACCCGGTTGAGGAGCGCGAGGCGGGCCTCCTTGGGAGTTCCGCAGACCAACTCGTTGTTGTAGAAAATATGCGAGTTGAGCGCCATCATGTTGGGGTGCGGTCGATACACGGTGCTGATCTTGCACGTTGGGGGATTGCCAACGCGTCGGGCGACGTCCAATACGGATCGCGAGCAAAGGGTGACCGCGAGCGGTGCCCTTTGTGTGCCGATGTAGGGTGGCAGTTGGTTGCTATCGCCGACGAGCGTATATGTAGCGTCCGGGAACCTCGAGAAAAGACCAATGAGGGTGGCTTCCGGGATCATCGAAGCTTCGTCCAAGAGGACGGTGCTCCATTTGCGCGAGGGACGACGCCACAACCCGTTTTTGGTCGTAAGGTTTATGGCCGACGAGATGGTACAAAGGAAGACGTTCGGCTCGTAGATCTTGAGGAACCTCGTCGTGAGCGTTTTGATGCGCTCCGAATTAGCCTGTTCAAGGAAAAGGAGCGTTTTGTGCTCCGATGCCATGAGATTCCGCTCCACGCCGGTGAAGATGAAGTCGCGGAGACGTCGGCGGCGGTCGGCGAAAGCGGTGAAAGCGTTCATCTCGTAGTCGTCCATTGTCTCGGCGTGGGTCTGCGGCATCTGTTCCATCAGGCATGCCAGATCATACGGGCAGGAGCGAATGGCATCCGGTCCAGGGTCTCACTTACATACCGTACAGGGCGCACACCTTTGCTCTCCATTTGGGCCAATTTAGCGCAGATGACGTCTAGGGCCGTGTTTTGTACGGCCGCGATTAAAGATTACGACAAAGTCTCTGTGCAGCATAGAAGAGCATACATCAATTTGAAGCAGTAGCCAGAGCCCAAAGGAATCGAGATGTGGCCTTTTTGTGACTAAAGGTGCGCTCGTTGCAGCGCCCTGGGGCTGCCAATCCTTTCTGAGCTCCGCCTCCGCCTGTGCTCCGCCCCTCAGCAGATCGCTGTTCGATTATCATTCTGATAAGGTATGCCACTTCGAGCGCGTATCCAATAACTTTCTCATGGAATGCTATATCAATCAAGGTATGATCTCTGGTGGTATGATGGCAGCTATGGTTTAACGAGTGCCGACGACCTCTTAGTTGGTTGCCAACTCGTCCATTATCGGAGGTCAACGGGCAGAGGAAGTGGTCCCATTTTGCGCGTTTTTGACGGATTTCTTTGCTTTTTTCGCTACTAGGGCATTATTCAGCATCTCCACTTCCACTATGAACACCAACAGAATCCTATCGTAATCCCTCGCTTTAAGACAACCTTACCACGCTGTACGGCTTCGATGGCCATGAGTGCCGTACAAAGGGACTTACCGGCTCCGTATGCGCTGTCGATGAGGACCGGATAGTCCATTGTGGAATCAATTCATAGGCGTTCACCTGATGGTTGTTGAGTTCCACTTTCTCACCGGCTACGGTGGCCGTGATGGACTTTCTCTGGTTCGTGGAACGCCCGGAAAGGTCGAATCGCCTGCCAGGATCGCTCGAGCAGCGGACCGCGCCCGAGGCTGCGGTGTAAAGAGGCGAGATACGGACGTTCCCTCCAGCAAAGGTGAGAACTGGATTGGATCGGTCCTCCATACCTCCCCGAAGGTATGTGCCTGCCGAGATACGGTTGTGCCATGCACGCGTGATATAAATGCGAAACCGCGGGGTGTCGCGCGGATGCACCTGGCCACAACGGTGATCTGCTCATCCTCCTGCGTGATGCGCGTTATGCGGGCACGGATGATATCCGTTTGATAAGCGCCTTCTACGTATTGACCCACGGTCCAACCCGTTTTTCCCAGAACCGGCACTGAAACTGCGCTAGCGTAGGGTAAGCGTTTATGTCCGGGGTGGACCATAACGCTGGATGGAGTTTGGTGTCCATCGTTTCCGCTATGCAGGCGGTTATAGTGCCCACGGTTGTACCGTACAAGGACTCCAAGAAGGGCATGACCTCTCTCGGGCACGTGGAACAGCTGAAAATTGGTCAGCTTACTGTGGACCAAGTTTTGGTGGTGCGCCGACGTGGGTCGTATGCCGAACGGTGCGGGCGGTGCGCTGGGGAAATATTGCACATCCGCCAGGAATTCGCGTAGCTGATTGAACGCGATCGGTGTCGGTTCGCAGGCGAATAGCATGTAATCCAGCTGGCGCGGGCGAAAAGGCGCCGTGATGAACGAATTCGGCTGTAGATTGCTGAAGTCTACATCGGAATTCAGACGGTTGCGACTTAACCGTCACCACGGTGCGGTGACCCTTCATGCACACCCAAAAGGTTTGGTACGCTTTTGACGCAATGCTGATCACGCAACCCAGTGTTTCCTTATTGTCCCGATAAATGAGACCAAAATGAAAGATAAAAAATCATGAAAGTGAGTAGAGGGCTGACTGAATCAAGGGCATGATAAATGGTGTAGAAAGATAAAGGAGGATATATAGCGACGTAATGGTAGAATAAAAAATTGAACAAATAATGTTGTAAAGGTGTATAAATCTGTATAGAAGAGAATTTTAGGACAGCAGTAGTTTTGAACATAATGCTGCGTATGATAATACTCAGCCAATTTGAATATGTACATTAGAGCAGATATACTATGCTAGTGAAAGATAAATATAATAATTAAAAGGTAACGATATAGATAAACTAACTTGTAATACTAACTACAAATTGAGAAATTTTTTAAACTGCTTTGCATCCCATATTTATAGCTAATGAACTTGTTTTTATAAATACACCTAATAATATTAGAAGTAATGAAGTTGTCTTTATAACCGTTAGTTTTTAAGATTTGTACCATTTTGCTTATTTTTGAAACAAAAACATCAAAGTTACTACAAGTATTAGAGATCCTTAGTGTTTCTGTATATATAACTGCACCTTTAGTAGTGTTTGAAATATTAGTATCACTATGTGGAAAGCGTATAACCTTGAAATTAAAATCATCAGTTTTATTATAAAGTTCTGTATATATTCTATTATTAACTGTATGAACGTTTAGGTCAAGATAGTTACTAGATGTATCTGTTATATGCGTTTTCTTAGCTCAAGTTTACTATTATATACTTTATTCAATTCTGCTTCTAATTGAACTTCACATTGATTATGAATAATTAGGAGGTCATCCATATATCTGAATGGCATAAAATAGTATTATCATTTACATTTGTGCCTTTTTGCGTAATTATATTCCAAAACAGAAAGTGTGAGATCTGCCAAAAGAGGGCTGAAATTGCCCCTTGAGGGACTCCTTTTTTCTGAGCAAAAATATGATCTGCCAAATTTGCGATAACTATTAGTAAGCAAATAATCAGTGTGATATAATAAATCTCCGAATTGATAGTATCTGTAACTTTTTCTGATGTTCTGACCATCACTATAAAAAACATAATATCCATTTGTGGCTATATAATTTCTACTAGCATTTTTGAAACACAAATTACATAAGTAGTTCCTTTATATTATTGATAATTAAACTGTGTTCCAAATTAGTAAACATATCTGTAAAATCTGCTGTGTATAATTTTAAATTGTTATAATGAATGTTGCTTGAGATCTTGACTAATATTAATATTACTAATGGACCAATAGGTTTTTATTGTCCTATTCCTATTTTGTATAACTTTACAATAATTAATGAAGTGTTTTTTTATGTATGTAAATATAATGTGGAGTTCTTTTGCTAGAGGTTTTATGCTACTATTTTAGCACCAGTTATAAATCTAAACTTTATAGGATTTTTATGTAGTTTAGGTAAGCATAAATAATAGGTAGTCCAGCATTATTTAAGGTAGTGAGATCCATTATTATCACAAAAGGATTTATTTCGATAAATCAAAGAGTCTACACTGAATTGTTGCACCAATTCGTAGGTATTTTTAGTGTTACCACATTTAAAACATTGTTCATAGTAGTTGTAGAAATACCCATTTTCTCCATAATAGTCATTAGAGAGTACTTTTTACAAACAATGCTGTAATTGTTGCTCGCTTTATCTAGTGAGCAAAATATAAGGTATTTCTGATATCTTCTAATTTCTTTCTCATTCTATTGTGGGTAAATAGAGGTATGATCTTTTTATGATGGCTGGAATAATAGTATCTTTTGATCGAATCCTGTTTATCCTTATTTATCTTATAATCAGTCTCCATATATCTTATTGTCTTATTAACGATTTCTTCATATACTTTTTTTAAATTTTGAATCTAGAAACTTCACATTCCTTTCTATATTTAGGGCCCTTTTTCAATATATTCCTAAAGCCACTATTACTTATTATGTTCAAGTCACTAGTGATAATATGCCCATATGTGTCATATATAAAATCTTTGAAATTATCACTTTCGCATATACAATATACACAATTGATCGACGCGCCATATCATCGGTTTACGATGATGACACGCTCGCTCGATTGTCTCTTGATATGGAACGCCCTCCTTTAGGAATTTTTTGGACGGGGTTAAGGAGTAAACCCAGACCAAATCCCGATGAGAAGGTGAAAATATCCACCTGGCGCTTCTCTGTGAGAACGTTTACCGCGAACTTGATCTAATGTGACCGTGTGAAGGTCCAAGTGGTCCGGTAATGGAACCTCCATGTGGACGGGCTCGAGTCGAGCTCCTGGCCAAGAGATTTTACGCAGTACAGCACTGGATGTATGCCCTTGTGGAGATACAGGCCTTTAATAT